GTGTGAAGCTTTTTGCCTTGCTCACTCCCAGTTGTCTAGTCAGTCTCACCCTCCTTGTGTGAACCGCAGGTCTGGTTCACACTCTTTCACTGCTGTAAGCTGTGGCTCTCAGACATTTTTTGTCTTTTCCCTTTACAATGTTGAAAATCATTGAAGATCCTAGAGAGATTTAGTTTATATGGGTTACATCTATTTCTTTTCCATATTAGAAATTGAATTATTTTAAAATATATATTAATCTATTTTAAATAACAATATGAAATAATATGTGTTAACACCAGCAATTTATGAAAAATAACTTCTTGAAAATGTAGTGAAAAGATTGGAATTCTTTTACATTGTTTACAGTTCTTTAATGATTGGCTTAATAGAAGACAACTAATTTTTCATAGCCATTTTCACATTCAGACTGTTGCAGTATGTTATTTTGGCAACCAATACTCTAAGCTGTTTACCTTGAAATGACATGCTCACATAATTCATTTTCCAAAAAAATGTCAGCCAGATACCAAAGTCTGAATAACCTTAATTTGTTAGTTGTTCTTTCAAGTAAATATAATGCTTCATGAAAGAAGTGGCTAGTTCAGCTTGCAACACAAACCATCAGACAAATGCTTCTTCTGCAGACAACTGTGATACTTCAGTATGCAGCAAAAGGGTCTTATGAATTCTTCCTATTTCTTCACACCTAATATAAAAAGATATCTTCTGAGAGTTCCAAGCAAGTGCATTTGTAAGTGGAGCTTCTCTTTTTCTCAACCGTATGTGTCACTGAAGGATAAAATGACTTTGCCTCATTGATACTGGCAGTTTTATTCATCATTACTTGTACACTGTCAGTACCAAATTCATCACAGCGCCAAAGGCAAATGTCTTTAAGGTGCTTAAAGAAGAATCTACCTCATATTTTGTCCTGCTTTTTTAGTTATTCACAATGAGAATGTTGGTGCTAATGACTAGCCTTTAATTAACACCAGTCTATTATACCTTTTTCAACTTCTGTCCTTTTTTCCTGGGTGAGTCCTTTTAAAAAGTTTATTTTGTGAGTTGTACTGGCTTTTTATCCTGGGTGATATTCCTCTTAAGTTTGGTAAATTTAATTAATCTGTATTACCTATGGTTACATATTGATTTCAATTTTAGTCATTTTATTATATATGCTGTTATTTTTTCCTCTCCACTTTCTTTTTAATTAACTGATGTTATTTTTAAGGTTAAAAGGTATTTACTCTATTTCTATTCTTTAAATTTTAATAAGTATATTTAAAATAATAAAGTTTTATGATAGACAGTATCTTTATTCTTTTCCTGAATAATTCCTTCAAATACAGTTTTATATTCTTTAAACTTATTAAACTTATTTTACCTTCCATATCTAATCATTTCAGTGTCTGAGGTCTGATCTGTTATTGTTTCTAATGGCTGCCATTTATGTAGCCAGTGTTTCATGGTTTAGTAATTTGATATTGTGAAGAATATCTTTCTTCACAGACCCAGTTAAAGACACTACTTCAAAGTGAGCTTGTGTCAGGTTTTTCTTTTGTGAATTTTTTTCCTTTGTGACACACCTGGAGCCAAGTATGGTGGATGTACATCTGTAATCTCAGCTGAGGCAGGAGGATCAGGCATTCAAGCCCAGCCTGGGAAATTTAGCACTTTGGGAAAACCTTTCTCAAAAATAGATAGATAGATAGATAGATAGACAGACAGACAGATAGGCAGGCAGAACAAAAAAGAATGAATTTTTACAAATGACATACCTGGGGAAATTATTCCCATACAACTTTAAATTATAATCCTCAAATTACTGTTTTTAGGTCTATAGTTATCATAGTGGTACGAAGTATAGAGATAACAGTTTTGTTTTTATTTGTATGTCTACTTAAGTATCATATAGTGAAGACAGTTTACTGTCTGCTTTTGTGTGCTGTTTTTTTCCCATGGTTGACCTAATCTCTGGATAGAACATTTCCCAGACCCTAACTTTTGGTAGGGGAAATGGAGAACTTTGGAGAGCTATTATTCTGCTTACCATAGTGATGTATTATCATCTCTACATCAGTCTTTTTCTTAACTTCCGTTTTTCTTCTTTCTTTCCTCCCTCCCTTTCTTCCTTTTCTCCTGCTTGCCTGCTTTCCTTCCTTCCTCTAATAGAGATCATGGAATGGCTTGAATAGGATCCTGCTTTGACTTAGCCAAAAAGGCACAGGGAACTCCTGACCAAAACTGCAAAATTTAAGGGAGTTCTACCAATAACAAAGTGAACTGAAGTAAAAAGTATATCTGACTTGAGGACAATATATTCAGGACTCATTTTGCCTGTATCATCCATTTTTAAATTCTTCTAAACTATATTTGTGTCTTTTTATCTCTTTTTTGAAAATTTATACTTAACATGATACCTGTAGTAAGAGGGCCTAACACTCAGAGCATAGATACTCAGAACCTCAAGAAGTCTTTACAAATTGCCCTGTATTTACGTACCAAAGCATCCAGAGTTACCTCTTTCATATCATCACAATGCTCAGTTACCTTTGGGCACTTCCTTTGCAGCCTTTCTGTAGTCTGTATGCATATTTCCTGGTTTTATGCTTGCTTTGCATTTCTTATTAAATTCTAGTTTGATTTTCCTGTTTAAGATAAAACAAAAGCAAGTGTATCTAGTTACAGCAATTCAGTCATATCCTAACGCAGTTTCTGGAGCCAGAGCAATGCATAGGAAAGTCTTCTACAAAAGAAATTTACTAATTTGTTATATTCTACACAGGGCTTTTTTATATTTCAAAAATTTGATTCATCTTTTTAATTTATTATCTTGACAGATACATATTTTGAGATATAGAGAGCAAAAAGAAGAAAATAAAAGCTATACAAACTTCACCATTCAAAGATGCTCTACTTTAGTATATTTGCTTTTTTCCTGTGTTCATAAAATATATATGTTAAACCAACTGTATCTTTTTATATGTGGTAAATATCTTTATAGCATGGTATGTGTGTATGTGTAAGGCTGACCATTGTTTGGTGGTAGGAAAGAGACATGGATTCCCAGAAGGAATCATTCCTATTATTCTCTTTTTGTTTGTTTGTTTGTTTTTCTTCCAGTACCAGGAATCAAACGCACGACCTTGCTCTTGCCAAGCAGGCACTTTGCCGCTGAGCTAAATCCCCAGCCCCTCCTATTATTCTCTAGTAATGGTATATAGTAAGCCTTATTTTCTAGTTGGGTAGGTTTAACAAACTTCTTTTTTAAAAAATCATGTATTAACTTTTAAGGAATAATTATAAAAATGTATCTATTTTCAAAATATGTAAATGATCTTTTATCTGAGAGTAAAAATTTAGTTAGTATCTATTGAGGTTATTCCAAACCTGAATTTAAGAAAATGTACTGTGTTAGACCTGTATTGGCTAATCTTACCTGTTCAGTAGTATCTGCTTGAAGCTTTTTAAGAAGTGATGAGTAGATTCTCTGTGTTAGTTACTTTTCATCCCTAGGACACAAAACCCGATTCCAACAATTTAAACAGAAGTTTGTTTTGACTCACATCTTTAGTACATAATTGACTGGTTCCCAAGCAGGAAGGCATAGCAGAGAGGCATCACAGGAAAAACTGCTCACACCGTGGTGGCCAGGAACATACCTGGGAAGGAACACCGACTGGGGAGGGAGATACAGCCCCCCCATGTCACGCCCCCATTGATCCCCGTCTAACCAGGCGCCACCTCCTCCCAGCGCATCAGCTATAGCCCCCATAGTCCAGTCACCTTCACAAGCCCCGCCTCTGAGTGGGTGAGGCTTTTCAGGGACACTGTCCTGTTGCTACATTTGTACCTGTAGTAATATTTACATCTTTGTTATCTGAGTCCTTCCTACGAAGTACTACTTTATTATTAAGGTTTTATTAAGTCGTGGGCAGTGTTTTCTAGTTAATAATAGTTAATTAAAATTAAAAGAGGTAATATGATCAAAGTTATGCATATATGAAAACATCACAATGAAACTCATTGCTTTGTACAATTAATTTGCACTAATAAAAATATCTAGCACACAAAATTAGACCTTTTAATAATTCCTAGGTGCACTATAATTTTATTAATGGCGCTAGACTTTTATTTTCATCTATTTGTTAGTTTATTGATTTTTTTGGTACCAGGGGTTGAACTCAGGGCCTTTGTACCCAGTATACCTAAATTACTGAGGCTAGATACACATTGGCTATCCTCCTGTCTCAGCCCCAAAAGTATCTTGGAGTACGGGCATCCACCAGCATGCCAGACTTAAAAATGGAGAAGATGGCTTTGTATAAAGGTTCAGGTTAGGCTTGCGTCTCACCCTTTTCATAGAAAGAGTGAGCTGCTCTTCATCTCCGTGCCTCCATCAGTGCACCACCCTGGGAAAGTGGTACCCTGTCCTTGTCACAGGCTACAGAGTGGCTTAGCTTTGTGCAGGAGATGCCCGCCACATCTCCCAGTGGCCTCAGGCTATTTGACTTAAACAGGTGTTGTTCTTTTTATAAGCTCTAAATCAATTTAAACTGTTCCTCTAATACATGCATAAGGTTATTTTGATTTCAGTGCATTAACAAGATGTATGATAGCCAGAAATAATGTATTTCTAAATTATGGTTTTAATAGGCTGCTATACATTTATGAAAATTTTCATATGAATGTACTTCATGCAAAATGTGAACAAAATTTTGCTTCACACTTTCTTAGAAGTTATGCCTAAGTCGAAGGGCAGAGGAAAAGGTGGGAGACTTCAGTGCTTTTTAACAAAGCCACATTGTGCTTAGAAATAGCAGTTATATACCATTACACCTTTGAAAGCAAGAGGTTTCCCAGCTGTGTAACACAATACTGTTGTGTGCAGCAGGAAACAAAAAGATATGCTAATGTGTTTTCTTTTAAGCTTGGTTAAAAGAGATGTAAAGTGTCTAAATTGTCACTCTTTATGGCCATCCTCTAGATTTCAGTTGTGTTTCTTAAAACTTCTCTAGGTCCTTAAAACAGATGCTGAGGAACTTGTCTCCAGAAGCTATTGGGACACACTGAGGCGGAACACAAGCCAAGCGCTCTTTGCGGACCTCGCAGAGGTACAGCTAACCCTCCGCAGGGTCCTCGTGCTGTTTGCCATTTTGTCCATCAGTCCTCATTCTTAGAGTCACAAGGATGAAATAAAAAGTGTGCTATGTTTTCTGTTTTCTTCAGTAAAATGATAGTCACCATATTTAAACTGTGTATCAGAAGATGCTGGCTGAGCACGGGCTGCAGACCACTTTTGATAATCTGTGTTCCATGAGCTTCTTTGCTGTAGAAAACACAATTTTTGTTCAAAGGAAACAATGTTATATCTTAATTAAGGATCACTTTCTCAGATTTTGAAAATTATAGTGGTATGGCCTCACTGAATCTTTTACACTTACAGTCTACAGTGTGACTTGAAATACTAAGATGTTTCATTTGGTAAAAGTTGACTCATGTTAAATTTAAACAATTAAATTTTCCAGTAGTAGCAGTAGTAGCTCACAAAGGCAGAGAAATGAGGTTGGGGAGGAGGGTTCTGGTAGAACAGCCGGTCAAAAGATGGAGGAATATTATTTTAAGATTGCCAGTGCAGGGTAAAATAAAAGGCGGATGACCCTATTTTTGTTTCATTATTGTTTTTGATTTGATATGGACGTACACCTCATTGCTGCACTCAGTGGACTGCTTCTGCTATGCCAGTCTTTTTTGGCCACAGTCAATAAGGATGTTAATTTTAATGGATGGGCTGTACCTTATAGATCAAATACTGTTTTATGTTTCCTAATAAGAATTTTTGTAGTTAAAACTAAAATGTTCATAATTAAAAGTATCATAGGTGGGCACACAGCAGTCTGTGCATTAAAATAAGAGCAACTGGGAACACGATCCTTGTGAGTCCCTGCAAGCCAGTTGTGGCCTTCTGCTCAACCTCAAATGAACAGTAATGTCACTGCTGTCTCTTTCCTTACTAGTGCTCACCTCCCAAACACTGGCCCTTCCTGTGTCCCATCTAACTTGGCTATAAATTCCCAGAGACAAAATTTGCTCATTAGATTTTGAAGTTAATTAAAATCTTGGGAGGCTTCCTATTAAAAGACCATTCATGTCTTGTATACTCAGGTGATGATTTATGTAATATCTTTGGAAAGATTTTATGGTTCTATTATGGTTAGACTGGAACTACCTTTTACCATTTCTCAGAGCCAGTTTTGCACATCTCTTCCCAGCTCAACATTCTGTGACTCCCTGTGGTCCCTTGAAGGTAGACACGATAGAACCAGTATCACCACAGAAGCAAGCACTACAGATCAGCCAGTTTTTTATTTTTCTGGCATACCAGTTTGCTGGTATACCAGTGGCTGTTATCAGTCCACACTGTGACCACAAGGTGCTGAATTAATTACTGAATGGACTCAAATGTAAGGAAGTAGATCTGTTTGTTTTTATCCAGTACCGGGAATCGAACTCATGACTGTGTGCTTGCCAGGCAGGCGCTGTTCCCCTGAGCTAAATCCCCAGCCCGCAGGAAGTAAATCTGATAAAAGATAGAAAAAGAGAAAAAGAAACTAAACAAAATTTGTATTGTGTTCCAAAATAAAATAATTAGTTGGCACAGAATAATAATGAAAATTAACTATACTTGAATCACAAGTAATTTTAATTCCTTATAGGTTATTACAGATACCAGTATAACATAGTATAGGTTATAGTATTAATATTTCAGGATTCAACTTCATTCCAAAAAAGCTTGGAAATCTATCTTTGTTCAATTTAATGTATAATTGTTTTAATTTTTTATGTATAAATTTGCATTTCTTTGTTACATATGTAATTTGAGATGAAGCAGTTCTCTTTAAATGCTATAGGTAGATTGGATATTGCCCTTTCATATTCTTATTCAAGTGTTTCCAACTATAAATATTTTTAATTATAGGAAAACCATGTCTTTCCAATTATTATAAAATCATACAATGAAAATTTGCATGTCACAACTGATAGCACTTTTTAACCAAAGTCATATGTAATAAAGTCAGAATACATGATAAGCATATTGTGCAACTGTTGAGTAGTCTGTCTGTACCACTGTTTTGAACACTACAGCTCAAATTTAAATTTTTTATTTGCTTTACACTCTCATTGTATTTAATGTTTCAATGAAATATTCAAGCATCCCATTAAATTAAGTTTCTGAAGGTTTTTTCTATCCCTTGGAGAGAGTTTAAGTCATTACATGGTAATCAGTAAAAATGTATTGAAAGATGGTTTTAAAACTTTAATAGTTGGACAAATTTGCATTTTGTTTCATTGTTTTGGAAATCATTTAAATGATTTTCGGTATGCATGTATGTATGTATTGTGCTGGGGATTAATTCCAGGGCCTCAGGCATGGTAAGCATACCCTACACAGAGCTATGTAAGCCCCCAGCCTAAAGTAATTTTTAGTCAAAATAAAATTAGATAATAGCTTTTCATGTAAGTGGCCCACAGGTTCCCTTTGTGGCTTTTTCTCACATTTTTATGAAAACACCTGGATTAATTTTATCTTACCAAAGAATTGAGGGGATAAGGTCTCTATTTTTATCTCAACTCTCTTGTAAGTTAGGTTATATAACACTGATTCTGAGGTCATTGGTGTCATTTTCAATGACTCCATGCAGTGCTCTGTTTCACTAACTGGGAAAAGAGTTTTCTCCATTTCCATTTTCTGATTTTTTTCCTCTAATGCCAAACTGTTACCTGTGCCTCTGTGGTTCTGGATTACCTGGATACGTGCAACCTGAGTCTAATAAGATTTGGGTGCTGAAAGACTACGTGAAGTTCTGCTCTGCTCAGTGGGCATAAGAGCTTCTAAATGAGGTCACTACATAAAACCAGCTCTCTCCTTTTAGTCTTCTCTGTTTTGAGGTAAAGAATATAACAACACTGGAGAAAACATTGCCTAATTATATATTCTGAATTTGCTAACTTTTGATGTTCCCAGACCCTCTCATGTTAAGGCATTTTCTCAGACCTTTATAGCATATATTTCAATAACAAAAAAGAGTGTACCATGCAAAAAATACCTTTTTTACAACATTTCAACTTTACTGCCTTTTGTCATCTAGTCTTCAACTTCTTGAAACATTAACTTGACCAAAATAGTAGCTGACTTTTTTTTTCTTTTCTCCCTGTGCTGGAATCGAACTAGGGTCTTCTCACTAGCTACATCCCCATCCTTTTTCATACTTTTTATTTTGAAATAAGATCTCAATAAGTTACCCAGGTTGGGCTCAAATTTGGGATCTTTCTGCCTCAGCTTCCTAGAGTGCTAGGATTATAAGCATGTGCCACCACACCTGCTTTAGCTAACATTGCTTGAACATTTACAATATGAGTATGCTAGTCACAGTACTAAAAATGTACATGTGCTGTCTCATGCATACATACTATTATTATTCTTAAAGATAACATTCTTTTCACTTAATTAATGAGAAGGGTCAGCACTCAGTGCCAGGAATCTGACTCTTGACCTTTGCTCACCAGACTACCACTTGTTTGTGAAGTGAACACCTTTTCTAAAAGGAAAGTATCCTGGTGGAAAGAAGCTGTTTTATGAAGCTTTTGGTCATTCTTATGTCGGCTTCATATAGTCAGTGCACCTGAGGAATTTACCTCTTTTGAATATCCTAAAAGAAATAGATTTTTTTAGGTTTATTAGCAAAATCCAAATTAAATTATTTAATAAAAACAGTACATTTAGATGATTATTAGAGGACTTAAACTACTTTAAATAATTTACCATGTTCATACATAATTTGAAGGTGAAAATTTCTCAAAATATCACCGTGTCTTTAACATTTTTTCAGGAAAAACATCAGTTTTGTTCAAATTTCTGTTTTGAAAATGTGAACTTCATTTTAATGATAATTTCGTTTATAAGGTTAGCATGTGCTTTTCACTCTAATGTTAATACCATTGTGTTTTGATATTTATATGTTGATAAAATTGTTCGAGGGATATTGGATATCTGTTATTTTATTGCAACTAACTTAATTTGTGGGATTTTTTTAAGCGTGCTGATGACATCACAAGTTTAGTATCAGATACTACACTTCTTGTCCACTTTTTTGGAAAGAAAGGAAAAGCTGAGCTCAACTTTGAAGATTTTTATAGGTGAGCTTGATTTTTACTAAGAACTATTAGTATGCTAAAATCAGAAGGGTCTTTAGAGATAATCTAGTACACTGATAGCACTTTGCTACTTTCATCTTAACTAATGATACTTTGTATGATAAATATGCATTTTTATGAGTGCCTACTAGGGGCTCTGTCAGTAGTTCTAACATGTAATTAATGAATGATAAAAATATCTGTCTGGATTATTAGGTGTTATATATTCACAAGAAAGGCCAGTTCCTTAATCTGAGTAAGCCATAGTAATAGCAACAAACATCATTACTCTGCAAGCTACATTATTAGTCCCACTTCACAGAAGGGAAACTCAAGCCCTGAAAGGCTAAGTTGCTTGCCTGAAATGCCATAGTCATTGAGTGGAAGAGCTTCTCATAACTTGTGCTCTTTGCTTTCTCATTATTCAGAGAAATTTCATGAAGCTTGTGTCATCATAAAATTAAATCAATGTCATGTAACCTTTTCTAGGACAGTGAATATCTGGTTATTTATTTTGTTCGTTCTTTATTTTACTTTCTTCCTAGATTCATGGATAACCTCCAAACAGAAGTTTTAGAAATAGAATTCCTTTCCTACTCTAATGGAATGAATACTATCAGTGAGGAAGATTTTGCTCATATTCTTTTACGATATACAAATGTGGAAAATACATCAGTATTTTTAGAAAATGTGCGTTACAGTATACCTGAGGAGAAGGTATCTGATCCTTCATGTTTATTTTGTAATGTCCATTATTTTGTGTTTTTGTAGGTCTATAAATAGCTTTCCCTGTTGTTAGTTCTCTTGCTTCTTTGTAAATTAAGATATTCCATATGCATTTTACTTTTTCCTTGTGTCCTTAGTGCTCTGTTTAAATTTTTTTAAATTAACTTTAAGTTCTGAGTAGATACCCGTGTATGCTGAAAACACTTATGACTATTATCAATTATTTTATTCAAATTAAGAACATTACTTTTCAAGAGAATTCTCCTGATTTATAGCTTTGGCTAGTGTATGAGCATCACCTCAAAAAACAGTTTATATTGACATTATTTCTGTCACACTCTGTTCACTTCTATAACACCTTTTAGAAGGTCATTTGAAGACTACCATTGATGAGTGAGTGATCTTATCAGAAGCTGAAGTGAGGCTTTCAAAGAGTTTAGATGGCATGAATGGTTAAGAACCTAGACAACTGGTTGTCTGTTTGTTTAGTAACAAAATGTGTTGTCAGCACTTCTGAGAGTTGCATTACCTAGTGGTATTTGAATGCACCATTGCAACCAAATGGAACTGGTGTCACAAGTACCCTGTAAGCATGGGGATGTTTTGGATATATTGCCTTCTGTTTGTGTTTACAGGAGGATCAGGTTAATCTGTCCAAGTAAAACATTGCAAAAAGTTTGACTTTGTTTAGAATGGATACATTGAGACAGTGTTAACAGTTCTCTTAAGTCCTCGAAGGAATGGAAAAAAAAGCACTTGATGCATTTGGCCATTAGAATACATTATCTGTTAACCAGCTGACTTTTACGTGTTTTACTTGCAACTCAACAACAACTCCTAAAAATAAATATTGGAAATTGCAGCACTCAAGGTGTTAGACTGTTTTGTAGGACCTTGAATCTGTTTTTTCTCTTATTAAATGGAAACATTAAAATCCGTAACTCAGAAGGTCAAATTCCAAGAATGAAGAGTTTATAGGAGCTCATTATATGATTTTATAGCTAATTTTTTTACCTAAAATTATTTCAAATTAAGTATTTTTAAACTAAATTCAGCTTCTAAAAATTTCTAGTTGATAAAAGTACTAAAAATTATTACAACAGACATGGAAATTTTAGGGCTAACATTGGTTCTCACTGGTATTTTTTTTCTGGATTACCTCATCACTTCTCACAATAAATTTGCAGATGCTGACATTGTTCCTTTTTTATACTGCTTTATAGCATTTTTCTAATTTTTAATATTTTTATTAGTACAGTACATCTTTTCTTTTGGAAAAAGGGAAACTAAGATTTTCATGTACTGCGATATTTATCCAAGCATTCAAATCCAGGACTTTCTAAGACAGTGATATAGCTATCATACCCTACATGTCTTTCCTTTTCTTCCACCTCTCATATTTTTATCTCCATTAGACAAAACAATACTACTATTTGAATAGCATTTTGTATTTCTAAAATACTCTCATTTTTCAGTCACTTATCTAACACATACTTATCATCTACTTAGGAGCTTGGTCTCACCATTAAGGAGAAAGCAATGCAATAAGCAATGTCTTAGTAAAGGGTTAAAATAATACTGATAAACAAGTAAACAAAAATAAATAATGATAATGTTGTGAAAGGGACTGGGAACCATGGGGACTGGGAAAGCAGGTAGACTGGCAGTGAGGAGGTGGGGCATAAGGAGAGTCCGTGAGAAGTAAGCTATGCAGAGACCTGGAAGAAGAGCATTTCAGGCATAGATAACAGCAAACTGCAAAGGTCTAGGGAGGGGTAAAAAAGATTGGTTTAGATGAGACAATACCAAGAAGCATTTAATAAGTAAACAGGAAAGTAGTAAGAAGGAGAGAGAGATATGAGTTAGGTCTTAAAGGACCCTGGAGACTAATATAATGGAGTTTAAATTTTTTTTTTAATACTAGTAGTGACACTAAGAGTGATAGAAAGCTGTTACAAAATTCAAATTTTATTTTCAAGTGAAAAAAGAATAAAACAAAATTTCAAAACAATAGAGTAACAATGGTGAACATATTGCTGCTGTTACCTTTGCATTACTCAGAGTAATGAGTTGTTAGCCCCTGCTGCGACTGCCACCACCTGCCTTTTTGTATGTAAAGTCTGATTAGAACATAGCCGTGCTCATTCACTTAATGCCTTGTCTGCAGGTACTTTTGCACCATAATAGTAAAATTGAGTAGTTTCAGCGAAGACCACCTAGGCAGCGAGAGTGAAAATACTTACTCTCTAGTCCTTTGCAGGAAAAGTTTACAAGCCTTGTTTAAGCATAGGCATGCCATTCATTCATTCTCCATCCAACAGGTATTCAGTGACTGCTGTGATACTCAGCTGTGACATAATTCATGTACCACATGTAATCTGATTGATGTTTCACATGCCCATCTTGGCTGCTATATGATAACAAACTTTACTTGGCCTAGATTTGAAAGAAAGAAAAAAGATTCTCTTGTTAGGATTCCAAGTAAGAGATAAGCATGGTTTGGACCAAGATAAAAGTAGGGAAATGGAGTGAAATATTGGACCATTTAAAACAGAGCTGATAGAACTTGTTCTTGGATTATACTTCAATGTGAAAGAAAAAGAAAAATCAAGAAGAATTATTAGGTTTTGGCCTTCATCACATGGTATAACAATGGTAGCATTTATGGAGCTAACTAAGAAAACAGATTTGGGATTAAGAGACAATCAGAAGTTTAACTGTGGACAGGCTAAGGTTATTCTTCCTACTTAGATTACCTAAGTGAAAATATTAAGTAATTGAACATGTACATGTAGCCTTTAGAGTGCAATCAGGACTACAGATTAGTAGTCAGGAGTGTACAGACTTCACGATTGTGTCTTAAATTTCTACCTCTTACGTCATACTGCCCACTTGGCATTTCCATTTGTTGATCCAGGAGATAAGTTAGGCTTACTGTTTGCAAAATCTGTTCCACATACCATCTTCCCACTTTCATTTAATGGTAACTCCATTCTTCCTCTTTCACTTCCAAAATACTTTAATTATGCCAAAGTAAAGCCTTGTGACATTCAGCAGGTCCGTTCCATGTCCTTTTCCTCCATCCCCATATAGCCATCACTCTGCCTTCTGTCTCTGTGGATTTACCTATGTAGATACTCAGTTTAAATAGATTCATACAAATGTATGAATCCTTCAATGTCTTTAACAGTGATTTTGAGGTTCATCTACATCATAGCATGTATCAGTACTTCATTCTTGCTTGGCTAACTAATACTGCATTATATGTATATATAATTGTTTATTCATTCATCCTTTGAGCTATTTCTGCCTTTTAGCTATGTGAATAGTGTTGTGAAGATTATATGTGTGCATGGATTTTTTGAGTACCACTGTTCCGTTCTTTTCTGTGTACACCTGGAAGTGGAACTGCTGTGTGATACATTATTATCCGTGTTTTCTTATTATCACTATTATAGCCATGCTAGTGGTACTCACATAGTTACTTTAACTATAGTCTTTGTTCCTTCATTTGGCTACAAATTACTGTTTCCTTTATTTTCAGTCTCAAGGACTTCCTCATACATTTTTAGGAGGGAGGTGGTTAAGGGCAGGTGTGTGAGTGATAAGCTCTTCTAGCTTTTGTTTATCTAGGAATGTCTTAATTTCCTCTTCATTTTTTAAAGATTGTTTTGCCAAATACACAGTTCTTGATTGATGGGTTTATTTATTTCAGCACTTGAAGTATATTCCACTCCCTTCTAGCCTTCATGGTTTTGATGAGAAATCACCTGTTAATTTTATTGACAGTTGTTTACATATCAGGACTCATTTCTCTCTTGCTATTTATAAGATTATCTTTTTGTGTTTGGCTTTCAGTAACTTGATAATAATGTGTCTTTGTGTGGGTCTCTGTGAATTTATCCTCCTTAGAGTTCATTCGGCTTCTTCAGTGTGTAGATGCGTGTCATTCATCAAATTTGGGAACTCTCCAACCACTGTTTCTTCAGTATCTTTCCTGCGCATCTTTTTCTCTTTCCTTCTTTCAGTCTCATTCCAGCATAGGTTGATACACTTGATGACATCCCCAGGTCCCTTCGACTTCGTTCACTTTTCTTTATGCTTTTCTTTCTACTGCTCAAATTGCATAATTTAAATTGTCCTTCTTCGATTTCACTGATCCCTTATTCTACCTATTGAGAACTGTTGATGAACCTCTGTGGTGACGTTTTTAGGTCAGCTGTTAGACTTTGCATCTCCATATTTTTTGTTTGGTTTGCTCTTATAGTTTCTCTTTATTGATATTCTTATTTTGATCATCATTTTCTTATTTTTTTTTTGTTCTTTGTGATTTCCTTTAGCTCTTGTGAATACATTTAAGACAGTTGACTTAAAGTCTTTGTCCAATCAATCCAATGTCTAGAATTCCTGAAGAGTCATTCTGCCAATTTATTTTTTCCCTGCAGATGGCCCTTATTTTTCTTGCATGCCTTGTAATTTTTTATTAAACAGTGGACATTTTGAATATTACAGTCTGGTAACTCTAGAAATAATTTTCTCCCTCTGCAGTTGTCCATTTCTTTTGTGACTTTTCCAAACTATTTTGTAAAGGCTATATTCCTTGTTCTATGTAGTCATCAAAGTCTGTTTGGTTGTCTTTGTGGCCAAACAGTGAACTGATAGATTTCCTTAAAAACCTACCTGCAGTCAAAGAGAAAAACAACAGTATTCCCCTAGTCTGTGCAGCTTGCCTGTGAATTAGAGGACTCCTTGAACACTAAACCAGACTGCCTGAAACCTTTCTGTAAGGTTTACCTCCTGCTGCACAAAGCTCACAAACCTGCCAGAGGTTGTAGCCGAGGGTCTCCTTGGGTCTTTTCGAAGTGTATGTCCAGTTCTTACATGTGCGCATTGTACTCCAGTTTCCCAGGAATATAAAATGGCCCTTTGAGCCTCTGTTGCTCTATTAACCATTATTATCAGCTTCCTCCACTGCAGGCTTTTGAGTATTGTCTGCCCCTTATCGTATCTTGCATCCCTTGTCCCGGGTAGGTATGGAGTATGTATGTCTTGAAATCTTTTGACAGATGCTGGTATCACCAGGTGAGCTGCTCCAGTGCAAGAGGAGGATGCAAAACAAAAGTCAGCCTCTGCTGGTCCCTCAGGAGTCAAATCACACACCACAGTATTTTGAGAACAAGGTGTATGTGAGCCCCTAAACACCCGCAGGCTACACCAGGAATGTCACCTACCATCTCCAGTACTCGATCAGTGAAGTTCAGCCACCCTTTTCTTCATTGTCCAGTCCCCTGCTTGCTGTAATTTTGAATTACTTTCCAGAATTCAAAGATAGAAGTGAGTTTTCTCATTCTTTCCCAGCTTGTGCTTGTTTCTGTGGAAGGACTGATTCTTTAAGTAGCACACTCTGCTGTTTCCATGGTGGCAGTCCCCCATTCTCTTTCTGTGCTTCTAACAGTCACTCGGGCTTACGTACTTCAACTATGTTAGAGAAAGAAAGTGCACACTTGGGCAGTTGCATCTGTTTGTCAGCTAACTATTATGGCTATGCCATTTCTACAATCCCTTAGCAATGTGTGAAGTTTCTAATTTCTGTGCATCTTCATGAGCAGTTGTTAGTGTCTGACATTTTCTTTTTTTTTGGTAACAGAAGTCGAACTCAGGACCTTGCGCTTGCCAGGCAGTCTCTTCTGCCGCTGAGCTATATCCCCTGTCCGACATTTTCATATACTCATTTTAGTAGGTTTGAAGTGGTATGTCATTGTGGTTTTGATTTGCATTTCTTCAACAATTAATTGTGTTCAGCATTTTTGCATGTATTTGTTGGCCATTTATATATCCTTTTTGGATAAGTGTTTCCTTTGCTTATTTTCTAAGTTGAGTTTTTTTGTGTTTTTGGTATTGATCTGTGAGAATTCTTATATATCATTACAATAGAGATATTTGGATGTGTAAGTTATCTCTCCCATTCTGTGGTGGGTTGACTTTTCACTTTCTTGATAGTATCCTTTGATGCCTACAAGTTTTTAATTTTGATAAAATCTAATTTATCTACTTTTTCCTTTGTATCTTGTGTTTTTAGGATCATATTTAAGAAACCATTGTCAAGTTATAGGTCCCAAAATTTTGTCTCTGGTTTTCTTTTGAAAGATTTTATAGTTTCAGTAATTCAATGTAGGTCTTTGATCAATTTTTGAGTAATTTTTGAAATTGTATGGAGTAAAGGTTTGATTCTGTCTTTTGCATATGGATATCCAGTTGTCCCAGCACCATTTGTTGTTTCCAAAGTGAATGGTATTAATCACCCTATTGAAAAATCAACCGACCATAGACATTTGGATTTCTTTCTGCACTTTCATTGTATGTACTTTTGATGGTTTAATTTTTTTCAGTTCTTACAGCTGATTTGTTGTTAGCATGTTAGCTGTTTTTCATTTTACCTCTAAGAGAATACACTCCATTCGAGTCCCAGTGAGTTATTACAGTGTAAGTGTGGAAATGAGGGTGGGACAAAAAAAAGTAACAACCCTTATCTCTGTTCTGCCTCCAGATTGTCTGTCTCTCACTACTAAAGGGTGATTGCTTTAAATTATGCCCTTCAAAATAAATAGCCTACTTTTTGTCTTACAATTCCATAGTTTCAAACATTAGGTATATAATCTACATAGGATTCCTGTGTGGTTTTGAATTTGACTTGTCTTTGCAGACATTTGGAACTATATTTTGAAAATTTAAACGTTCAGTTGTTGAACATTAAGGTTTGTCATCCTTCGATTTGTTCTGAAGTTCATTCTTTTCAAAAGTATTGGTCTTTGTTTACCTTTTGCTTAGCAGTATCCCTATTTCTTATTTGTCGTAGTAATAACTTGTTATCCTGAGAGAGACTGTTGCTGTGGCAGCTGGTCACAGTATAAAGCTACAGAACCAGAGCAGTGATCGGTTTCCCTAGCAACAAGCTCTCCCCATAAAAACAGATCCTCCTGGTGCAGTCTATCTGGCTGATTGTAACAGCACTGTAGAAATCATGGGAGGTGCGATCAGGCCACACAGCAGAATCCAGGATTACAGTGACCAGAACAAATATAAGAAAAAGAGAATAGAAAAATGTAAAGATCAAAAGACAGTGAGAGTCTCATGTTGCAAGTAAAATTGAAGTGGAAACAAAGTATACCAAAATTGGGGTATTTTGCTAATAAATCATTTAACCAGTGAACAGCATATGTGAAACCCTCTGAGGTTTCTCTTTTACTCATTTTAAGTCTGGAATAAACCTAAGCTCTTGATCCTCTGCTCTTCTCTCATTTATGTTAATTTTGTTGAGGAAAACACATTAACCAAACCCAGCTCCTCATGTCAAAATTTGTATCCTCTGAGATACAATCTGAGATAGTAAGCTGACAAATGAATAGGTATGACTTCCCAATATGTGTACTTTCTCTTCTCTGAGATACACTGAACTTACTTAAAATAGCTTTCATGTTTAATTGAAGTAGTATCAGTGATGGTAGTTGCATTTTAGGCACATGACATTCCAGAAGAGACTGCTCTGCCTGCTGGCCCTTTGCATGATCTACCCCAGCACATGTGTTGGGTTCCCAGTGCTGAATCTTTACAGGCTCTGCCCTTCCTCTTGCTGTCTTGGCTGCAGTATCATAACAGGAACAAGTTCAAATAGACTACTGTCAATGCTTAATCACATTTTGATTTTGCATAGTCAGCATAAAGACGTTAATGATCTAATCCAGAATCCAATTTAAGAAGTACATGTGTCAGTAAAACTTTTTTCCCTTAACCCCTGTATTTTCAGGGATTAAAAAAAAATGGGCCTTGGAGGATTTTCAGAACTTTTTATTCATTTTTACTATAGCATTTTTTTTGGAATTCTGTGCTGATGACAGTGTTTTGAAAATATTCATCTCTTATGGTAATGGTAGCAACCCTGCCCAGTAAATATAAGTCTGAGTGAATCTTACAGTCCATTTGAGGAAAAGGGTTTCTGAATGAGTCCTGGAAATATTTACACACAAGATATACTGTAAATGCTTAATCTGTTTTTTTTTAAGTGTAGACATGGATCTCAGTAGATTTGGTAGCACTAATTGTAATTGCATTCACTTTCCCAAAATAGGGCATCACATTTGATGAATTTAGATCATTTTTCCAATTTCTGAACAACCTAGAAGACTTTGCAATAGCCCTAAATATGTATAACTTTGCAAGCCGTTCTATAGGACAAGGTAAGTAATCACACTTCAAAAATTAAAAGCATAATTCTGCACTGTCTCTACAAACATTGACAACAAGTTCATTAGATGTGTTGTGTCACCCATCAACTCCCTGAATGTCTTCTTTATACTTCAATGAGAAAAGGTTCAGACACTTAAAAGAAAATTAGCAAATTTAGGAAAATGTGCTAAATTTTTAAATTTATTTTTGTTCTTAATTTTGTATTATGAAGAAAAACTGATGATGTTTGTAAAAAAAAACAAAAACAAAAACAAAAACAAAAACAATTCAGTAAAGAGGAAACCTCATGGCTGTTGGTGAACACTTAGAGACATCTGTCTACCTAGAGAGACCTCATCAGCCGTCGCCTGGACATTCTCACAGAATGCTGTTTGTTTACTTGTTGGATGAAACACTAAAAAATTGTCAGCAGAGCCACCTCCTAGCCATGAACTTACTTACGTCAACTGACTCTTGAGAATGATGTATAAAATTGGATAATAATTTGGCATAATGTACAAAAAGCTAAAATTGTCACAGAATTCAGAATGCCTCTGTCCTCAGAACCAGCTGGCTCACTTATTCTCTGTGGGTTGGCTGGCAAGCCAAGTCATTTTTCTCCTACTTTGTGCCTACAGTTACCATCTCTTCCCCTCATGGCCATATAGCCTTTTTAAAACTTCCTGCTATAAAATTAAAACAACACTGAGATTATACCACATCCCAGAAGGAATGGCTATCTCAAGAAATTAACCATTAACAAATGCAGGAGGGGCTGTGGGGAAAAAGGAACCCTACTCCACTGTTGGTGGGAATCAGACTGGCACAGCCACTGTGGAAATCAGTGTGGAGATTCCTCAAAAACTAGGATTAGTCCCATTCAACCCGGCTATTCCTCTTCTGGGTATTCTTCCAGAAGAACTGAAAACATCATACCAAAGTGATACATATGCATCCATGTTTGTAGCAGTGCAATTTGTAATGGCTAAATCATGGAAACAACCCAAATACCTATCAACCAAGGAATGGATAAAAATGATGTGATATTTTTATACAATGGAGTATTACTCAGCTGTAAAAAAGGTAACCTAGAGGCTTTTGTAGGTAAATGGGTACACCTAGAGACCATACTCATAAGTGAAATAAATCAGACCCTCATGTATAAACATCATACTGTCTCCCTAGTGTAAGAACCTGAAAGAGTAAATAAACTCTGAAACGTGTAATAGATATCATGAAAGGGAAAGAAACTGCTCAAAGGAAAGAATAACTGGGATGAAGGAAAGGAGAAAAGAAAGAAGGAAGGAAGGGAAAAAATACACACATACAAGATAGCTAAGATAATTGTACTACTAATTTCTGTTGGTTTATTGAAAAGAGCAGTTAATGCTTAATTTTTTTACCAATTTTCCATCTTTGTATCTGGTAATCTGAACAACTACTTTAAAACAACAATTTGCAATATAACAACCATTGTTGAATTCATATCATCTTGGTTTTTTTGAAATTCTGTATGGCTTCTAATGTGTTTTATTTCTTTAAAATTTTTAAAAAATTTATGCTATAAGGAGATTTAATGTATTTTAAAGTGATTTTAGCTGTCTCTGCTATAGTCAAATGATGTGTTGATTCTCAAGTTTAAATCTCAGAGAACAGACTTAGGTTTTAGGCAGCTTAGATTCAACCCCTAGCACCAAAACAAACAAACAAACAAACTCCCCTAACATCTATAGATAATAAATCTGTTATCTGGCTTCATTTATTTATTCATTGAGTAAGAGAAACTAGAAAAATCGTATTTATCCTTTCTATAGCCCAGATGTTCCAACATGCTGTCTTCTCAAACCACTTTAGTGTTTTCAAACCAAAACTACTAGAAGCAAACCTTCAAAGAACAGCCTTTATTACTATGATAAGCTTTAAAAAAAAAATCAGTATCCACTTACTTGGTTCAGAATAGAAAGTTGCTCCTTTACTTTGTGGAACTTAGAAGTAGAAAAAATGGTGTTGCTTTTGCAAGTGCAGTACTAGGAATGTATCCATCTCTTTCTTTTATTTTACCAGTTCTAGCAAATTTGGATTATTACTTCTTTAAATCACTGTTGCATTAGCCACCAAAGTGCCATTCCAGCAACTGGCTACTTTCTAATGATTCTTAGACAACTCACTGAAGAATCCTTCTAAAACACAAAGTAACCTACACTACAAATAGAAGTAACCACTCATCTTCAAATACTCATAGCACGCTGTTGGTACATTTTTGGGTGGCCCTGGGTCGTGGTTATTTGAGCAATTGTCTCATAATCCATAGGACTTTTTCTTGAAAACTTACTTATCTGAATATTTTCCCTGTCACTGAGAATAATGTTCATTAAGCATTCATTGATTATGAATGCATTATTAACCAAAACACAGCTCCTTTTAGCTCTTTTCATTAAATACACAAAATATCTTAAAATATCCCTAAAAGGCAGCATGAGTAATGAAAAGTCATGTGTTCTAGATAAGATCATGACCCATGTTTAAAAAGCAACTTCTTTAACATTCTTCCTAATAATTAACATGTATTAAAAAAGTTAATGGCATGTTTTTTCTTTTTATGTGATATTTATCTAGATGAATTTAAACGTGCTGTCTATGTAGCTACTGGACTCAAACTTTCACCACATTTAGTGAATACTGTCTTCAAGATTTTTGATGTTGACAAAGATGACCAATTAAGTTATAAAGAATTTATTGGAATTATGAAGGACAGACTCCATAGAGGATTCCGGGTAAACTTAATGTATTTCCAGCCTACTACTGTACTTTTAAAAATCCGATTATAAAAAACACGCATTCAGAAACAGTTTATACAAATTTTTAAGAATATAAACATGAAGTGCTTTATTAGGAAGGAGAAATCATAGGCCCTTTCTACTTTCAAAAAAAAATTTGAGGTGATAAAATAATGTTTTAAAAACAATAATTTATTTTATCAATTGCTTTTAATAATTTATTTTCATAGTCCATATTTTTGGCCCAGTTGCCAGATATTTTTGAACAATCCAGTTTCCATATTGACTTTTCAGACTTGTTAATATGCAAGGAAATAATATTATTTCTCATTTTCTATGAAAAACATTCCTTGTAGGCAACTTGAGACTCCCTAAATTATCACATGCTCACTGTGATTTATAAGGAAAACAAATTTTAAAACATTTTTGCCTGTAGAACTATTTTTTCTATTAACATACTAAAAGTAAGTACTAGAAATTTAATGATATTTTCTAAGAGACACGCTATAAAGCTTGAAATATAGCATGTTTAGTAAAATTTTAAATATCTAACATTGATGGATATGCCACAAATAGAAAAAAAATTCATTCAAATTAACAGCTAGTATATTCAGTCTTCTCCCTTTGGCAAGCATATTTCTAAGTATTATGCATTTAAAAATAGAAAAATGTATGTTGAGAAAAAAATCAAGACTCACTGTAGTGTGTTTTTAAAGACTTAATGACCAAATCCAAGCTGTCTTGGTAAAGATGCTGTGTACTTCACCGCCATCTAGTGGCTCTTTGCCATAACAATCAGATAATGCCACAAATATTGAAAAGGGCAGATGATAAACATAAATATAAACTATACTTTAAGCCTTTAATACTGTATTTCTCTCTTAAGTGATATGTGTGCTTATTTTTAAGTATTTATTACATACTGGACCCTATAGCATTTTATTTACATTTGCACACTTTAAATTTTTAATTTGACAAATACAAATTGTATATATTTATGGGTATTATGAAATGTTTTGATATATGTATACATTGTAGAATGATTGTATTAAGCTAATTAATATATTCATTCACTCACATACATAAAAATGTATGAAGAGTATACGTACAAAAAAGTGGTAAGAATTTTTAATCTGTTTTTAAAAGCAGTTTTAAAATACATAATGCATAATTATTAACTGTAGTTGCCTTTCCGTGAAACTGACCTTAAAAACTTACTTGTCCTATCTAGTGGGAGTGTTCTAATCCTTGGTCCGCTTCCTCCCACTCCTCGCAGCTCTCCTAGCCTTTGGTAACCACCGTACTACCCTGTTGAAGTTCGTCCTTTTAGATTCCACCTTTAAATGAATTGTGCTTTATTTGCCTCTCTGTACATTTGGACATTTTTAATTCTCTGTTCTACAGGGTTACAAGACAGTCCAGAAGTATCCTACTTTCAAATCCTGTCTGAAAAAAGAACTTCACAGCAGATAAGTATGTTAACTTCTATCTTTCTAAATTTGTTGAGTAACAATAAAAGAAGAGTTGTAATTTATTTTTCTGTCACATATTTAGAAAATAGCCAAAAAGAGGGCAGGCGTGTAGCTAAAGTGGTAGAGCACATGCCCAGCGTGTGTGAAGTCCTCAGTTTGATCCCCTGTTCCACAGAAGAGAGAAAAATATATGAAAGAAATAGAATTGAAAGTTAAATTCTTAAGCCATTAAAGTATCTTTCACTTTTGTACCCAAGCAGATAAAGTGTAATAAATTCAAATTGTGCTTGTGTAATGTGAGATCATTAGCACCTGAGGAGTAAGTGTTACTGTTTTCGGTGATCGTGATCCTGAACTTCTGCAATTGTTTAAATAATTATTTTAGATGACAGTGCACTAAGTGGTTTTTATGTGTAGTATCTCCTTTAATTCTTGGAGATAGCTATCCCATTCAATATCACTGAAAATAAGGGTTAGCAAGTAACACCTAAATAACTAACTAGTAACTCACAAATAAGGATTAAGCTTTATTTTTCTAATGGCAAACAATCTTATTTATTATTTACTACATTATTATCAGAGATTGGAATAATGAGGAAGATTTGGGAGATCTGTTCTGTTTGAACTGACCCAAAGGAATATCTAAAACCTGTTGCTAGTCTTAAAAACACAGGGTTTGTTTGTTTGTTTGTTTGTTTTTTTAAGCCAGCTGAATCCACAAAACTGATCAATTGTAGGTTTTGTTTAGTTAGGTTTTCAAGGCAGAAGTTGTCTTTATTTGTAAATAAAAGCTTGTGTATATTGCCTGCTGCTTTCCTCAACCTTGAAACATTGATATATGTCTGTAGCATTATTTCATAAGTGGTTCATCATTATTTCATAAGTGGTTCCATCAGGATTCCAATGCATATTTTTCTTAAAAATTAGCTGGGCTTGATGGTGTACACCTGTAAGCCTCGCGCTTAAGAGGCTGAGACAGGAGGATTGCCACCAGTTTGAGGCCAGCCTGGGCTATATGAGTTCAAGGCTAGCCTGAATTACAAAGCAAGCCCCCATCTCAAAAAATAAAATGAAATAAAATTTTTAAATAGAGCTATTTAGTCAAGTTTGAAAAATATATTAAAATGGTTTAATAGGTTTCTCCTCCACAGAATTTATCACACCTCTATATGGCTGTAACTGTTTCATTTAAACAAACAAAAGAATAAAAGTCTTCCTGATATCTCTTTTAAGTACTTTTGTGGGCCCTGTAAAAACCCAAACCAAATATTTAAAAAGTAGGACCAGTCTATTTATACATCTATGTAAGTAACATTCCCAATTTGTAGTAACATCACACTGATCATACTGACACTACTAGCTCTACATATTAGTGCGTACAACTGTAGATGTAAGTGACTGTTTCTAGACCTAGGACTGAAGATTAGGAAAATTTCTAATGAAACACTGCACTTTCAAAGTCAAGAAAAGGTTATATGATTACTTTAAGTGTTTGTTTCTTATATTGTATGTGGGGTATTTTTACTAATTACATATGATTTTCATAAGAATTTTGATTAGTGTCATCACCTCTGAGTTATAACCAACATAATTACTTTCATATTTTTCTGTTTGTTTTAATCAGATACTCCTAAAGCAAACTTTAAAGAACTATTATCTCACAAACATAGAAGCAAAACTCTCTTAGAGTGGAAGCAAGTCTGAGATCAGAACATGTAGCAAATGAAGGAAAAAGTGAAAAGTTATGAAATTTCTATTTTTCTTGAACAGAATTCTTAAAGACATAAAATGCTTCTGCTACCCATCTTATGTATAACAAAGTTGAGCTTTGGCCTTGATTTACTGAACTCTGCACTTTTTCATTCCTTTCCGAAGTATAAAGATACTTCCAGTGACTATATAAGAATGTATTTTAAATATTTTTATTTATTTATTAGAACTTTGCCGCATTTCAAAGTAATTTATGACTCATGGACTGCAGATCACCTTAAAATGAACAAAACATTTTCTCTGGTTTTGAACTGTGAACTTAATTTGGAAAATAAATATTACTTCCTATTTATTTTAGGGTCCTTAGAATTGTTAGTAAATCCGTGTTGTTTGCCAGGTTTTTAAGTATATTGAAATAATTTTTGGAAAATAAGTAGAAATTAAGGTACTAAGTAACATGATGATGGTTTACATTGTACTTTTAACTTTTAAAAGTACTTAGGTAACATGTATTGCTTGACTTGTGAAATGTTTTTATTGTTGTTACTCATTTACCAAAGCCAACAGAATGTCTGGTATCCCTTTATGTATAGAATAATGAACTTAAAATGTAAAGTTCTCAAAAACATAAATGTCATATATTGATAATTAGAAGCAGGTCAGTTGTAATAGTAGACACTGTCATTGTAAACATGACGCTGCTCCTGATTATAGGTGATACATGTAACGCTAGTAAAAATAATATCCTACAGCTCTGTAACTTATTCCATATTGTTAATACATGTCTGTGGTGACAAAATGAGTGTTATAAATTAATAATCAAAAATAGTTTAAAAGACGGATTATGTTTAGGCAGAAGCTAATGTTTTGTTTCTTTCTGAAGGACCACATGCAAAAGTGATGCCAGTAATAATGAATAATTTAAATATAACTTGTTATTTCAAAAACCATATGTCTTAAAAGAGAAAATAAAAACTTTCTTTTGAAAAAAATACAAAATTATCTTTTCAAATGGAGAAATAATTTGATAGTACTTACTAGAAATCTGTTTAAAGATATGTAGTTTATTTAAGGATATTATACAAAAATAGTGCAATGAATTTAAGTTTATATATCGCATGTGGAATATAGTTCAATTATCTTCTTTTTTAAGGCATATTTAACGATGTTACGTACACTCCAATTATTGTATTGCTTTTGCATATGAAAATAGGAAACACTGTTTTTATGTTAATAAATGTGAAATTGATTTGCATCATCTTATTTATAGAAGTAATGTTATTTCCATGAAAATGTTACCAGAATTGACTTTGTGTTTGTTAGACCTTTTACCTCCTTTACCTGAATTATTTATTATACCAACGTAGAAATACAGATTTGTAAGTTTAAGAATCACACATAGTATAATAATTGAAGTTCACCTGCTTTGAAGATTCAGTCAACTGATTAACTGAGTAAAGATGCTTACTTATTCATTTATTATTTATCATGTCCAGCTCTATTATACTTTATATTCAGTGTTGTCCATATTATTTTGTATCAAAAATAATTGAAAAATGCAGGAGTCTTGGACCATAAATAAAATTATCTTAAATACATAGAGTATCTTGTAAATATAGATTAAAATTGAATTCGTTCATAAAAATCCTTTAGAATTCCATCTCCCAAGGAAGAAAAGCACCCTACGTACATAATCAGTTTTTTTTTAACTTATCAGTGTGAGTGGATCTATATATAAGGCTGCAACATAATATAACAATAGGAATAAATAAAACATTCTGATCAGTTAAATGGAAAGAGAATAGTAAATTACAGTGACTCCCTTTATAATATCACTCTTGAAATTTATCACCTATAAAATGGAGGTAAAAATATCTCACTGGATTGTTGTTTACATCAATTTAAATATTTTTGAATTCTTTGAACATAATGTACTAAATACATGTCTGCTGTTATTTTTGGTATTTCCTTTTACACACTATTCTTCAAAAGATTAAGTTATACACAAAACTTTAGTATTATACTTTTTAGAAAACCCTATATGATATGTGATAAATCATTTGTGGTACTTCTGAGAATCATTTCCCAATAAGAAATTATTTCACTAAAATTGCAATTAGTTGTTCTTATTATAAATTATAATTGTAAAGCAACCTGTCTTACATTTTTATATTATTTTAAAATAAATGTACCTACCCTTGAATCACAAAACGTTGTAGTATGTTTCTGTGTACAACTGTAGACTCTTTCTAAAAATGTCACCTCCATATTTAACAAATCTTTGTGGATTCCCAAGCTTCCGCTTGTTCGGGTTGCCTCTTCTGAGGTACTACATGCCTGTGAAATTGATCTCGGCAGCATCTTTGGAGGTAAGTAAGTCACCAAACCATAAAACCTCTTGAGGTACTTAATTCCAGTATTATAAACCTACAGCTCTTAGTACTACAAACTTTTTCAGAAAATCACAAAAATGATTATTTAAATGTCTTAAAATAATTAAACCAAAACTATACTAGCCTGATTTACTAATGTTGAAGTTTTAGATAGTACCTAGAAATTAGCCAATTTTCAGAATACATTACTTGTTATTCTACCTATCACCATACAGTAAATTAACACTTTTGAAAAGCACAATGCTTTTATTTGTAAATGATGTACAAATATGAATTATATAATATTCACTAGGTACAATAAATTTCTAAGTGATAAGAAAGCATTGCCTTATTTTCTTAATTGGCAACATTTTTACTTTCTCAGTAATTCATAAGATAATGGCTTATCACCAGGCATGGTGGTGCACACCTATAATCCCAGCACTCAGGAGGCTGAGGCAGGAGAATTGCCAAAAGTTTAAGACCACCCCGGACTACATGGTGAATTCAAAGGCAACCTGAACTGCATAGTGAGATCCGGTCTCAGAAATAATCATCATCATCATAATCATCGTCATCATAATAATGGTTCATCTTGCAATGTCACATCTTAGATTCTGTGAAATATTATATTTATTATTCTCTTTATATCACAGTGAACATTTTGGCATACATCTTAAAAATATATCTACATATGTGCTTATAAATAATGCTCAGACAAAGTTGAAAATATTACTGTAAAATTTTTCTAGAAAAATAAACCTTGTCCAACATTGTGAAAGAAGTAAGGCACCAGTGCTGCTGAGAAATAGAATGGAAAAAATAAGAGAATGGAGAAGGGATCTGCATGAAAATCAATTTGTAAAGTTAGGACTGGGTGGACAGTTTTTGGAAAACCTTTTTTATCCTTCGTGGTACTGGAGATTGAACCCAAGCCTCACAAAGGCTAGGCAAGCATTCTAGCTCTGAGGTACATTCCCAGCCCTTTCTTTTATTTTGTTTTGGATAGGCTCTTTCCAGGTTGCAAAGGCTAGCCTCAAATTTGCAGCCCTCTTGCCTCAGCCTCCAAGTAGCTAAAAGTACAGGCGTGTACTATCACAACATTCCAGGAAAACAAATAAATGCAACTTCAATCAAAATGACAGCATTCACTTTGACACTTCATATTGCAAAGACAGTTTCATCGAATATAGTGTGGTTTTATAGTAGATGGGAGTGTTGAGTAGGTGGGGCAATTTAGGTCTCTCAGGCATGGTTGTGAGGCTTTAAGTTTGGGTACAGTATCTTTGGAGGGTGGCCTGGAAATATCTCAGAATTTGAAACTATTACAATTTAGATCTAAAGTGCCCCCCAAAAGTGTCATATGTTCAGAGGTGGGGCTTTTAAAAGTGACTGGATTGGGAAGAAACTATACTTATCTGTGGATTAATTCATTAATACATCACAGTTAAATGTGCAGTAGGAGGTAGGGCCTGTCAAAAGAGGTCGGTCCCTGGATGCACGACGTGGAAAAGTGTGTTCTTGTCCCCAGGTCTTCCCTTCTCACTCTGCTTTGTGGCTGGCATAGATTGAGCAGATCTTCACCCTGCCCTTCCATCATGTCGTTTTTGCTTTAGAGCCGGCCAACCATGGACTGAACCCCCTGAAATTGTGAGCCAAAATAAGTCTCCAACTCCGTTAAGTTGCAGGTGTTGAGTATTTTGTCCCCACAATGGTGAAGTGATTAATACAGGGCTTGAAATCTAAATGATTCCTAAATAGAATTTTAATCAGTCCATCCTATTTATAGTACAACTGTCAGAGGCATCTGGATCCTTCAGTTTTTAAGCCTGTCAGGAATTCTGCTGTGGGAATCTGCCTCTTTCAGGATGTCTTCTGGCATAGGCACTTCAATGCTCTTTGCTCTGCAAACTATTTGTTTCTGAGATTCAAAGATTTTGTCCCTGTACTCTCTGGTTTTTTTACACTTGAAAAAGAAAGCCTGCTTTTAAAAAAAAATCCTTTTTCTGTCATTTTAATATGGTTTTAAGGATGAGTGTCTAACATTTAAACTCCATATTTAGAATATATCTGGAAGTACCCAGAAGGACAAAGAATGGTTATCTTTGAAGACTGGGATGCTAGTTACATTTAATGAGCTGTTACTGAACTGTTCTGAGTGTTTTTAGTTATGAGTATGTTTACTTTTTTCAAGAAAAGCCATTTTTAAAATTTAAGATCTCAGTCTAATAAAGGTCTTATGTGATAAGGATGTAGCTGGCAAATCCAGCCTTACACTACTTCTTGAAGCAGAAACGTGGTCTTAGGAAAACTAAGAATAATGCTGAGTGTGAATTTATGAATTACTACATAGCTTAAATTTGCATGATAGTGCTGGAAAAAGAATTAATTAATGCAAGAACATGGGTGGGAATCAATCACTGGATTTTAAAAGGTTAAAGATGGCAACTGTGCTCTCAGATAAAACACATTTTAGTCACTTTTATCTCAAGAGACAAACGAAATTGATTATTAGCCTAATTTAATACGGCATTTCCAATATGCATACTTTCTTTCAAGCAAGTAGTTTGAAGCAAGCAAGTAGATTAATCAGATAGCTTAAGGGTAAGCAGATTAGTCAGCTAGAAGATCTTAAACTGAGGTAAAATGAGAGTTTAGGACAGAATGAAAAACAATAAAATGTTCAAGCCTATGGTATATAATGCTTTAGCAAGCTCTAGGTGGTATAAGAGTTAAAAGTTCAAGCTGAAAAACCTACAAAAAAGCGCTCTGAAAATCTATACTTTTGTGTGTCATTGCTCTTTGGTGCTAAGAGGTTCTCAAGAAAGCGGGTATCTTGTGTACCATTTGTGCTGTAATATTTAATTACAGTGAGTGTACATAAGATTAGCTGTCTCAAAGATTCTTTTGAAATCAAATTGCACATCAAAACTGCATTGTGCCCTATTAAGTAAGCAAATTTAAGAAAGAAGAGAAGGTGATGTCCAGACTTATTGCAAAATGAACAAATAAAGGAATAGGATTTGCTCGGTGTTCAGCCTATTAAACCACAGCCAAGTGTCAGTCTTCATTTGTCAACTTAAATATGTTTTTTCTGAAATTCACAAAGATTCAGTCCATGGAAGGTATCCTTTAGCTACTATTTGGACTGAAAAATAAGACAGGAAAATGCTAAAGAGCTCATACTAATAACTCAGTTTCTCATAGTGATATATTACCACCTACATATGTTTGTTAGTTATTCAGATAAAGGTTTTGGTTGCCTTTTATTTTTGAGTTTTGTATGTTTTTAACATATAAAATAAATATGTTTCTGCTCCAAGATATGTGGAGTTTTAGAAGTTTTGGTTAATTTCTGCTCCACAATAGCTAAACCCCCAAATGAAACATACACTCAAGTATTTCTAGCCTCCAGGGATTTTCCCCTTTTAAAATTATTTAAAAGGAAAAGCGCATTTTTAAAACTCCTTGGTGTGAGCTTCAAGTGGCCAGTGGTGGAAAGTAGATAGCTGGAGCCTGAAGTAGACTCGCTGGAAATAACCAGGAACCGGACCATGTATGTGAAGATCCCCAGCAAAGTGAGAGTAGTTAGAAATAGAATGGTAGGGAGCCTGAGACTTTGTGGAGGAATTGTATTGCCCAGAGGCCAGGGTTTTGTGCTAGTAGTGTCTGAGTGTGTTGGTCTTTGAATCAGCAATAAAGGAGAGGATCTAATTAGTAGACACCACCCTCCTCCATGTTAAAACCTTGAAAGGGGGTCTTGAAGGGTCCTGAGATGAGTGCATGCTCACACACACACACACACACACACACACACACACACACACACAGTGAAGGAGAAGCAACCATCCCATAAGACTCTAATAGGTGACAGTCAAGCATAGCCTTTTAAGAAAGACTGCCAGGTCTAGAAAGGGCCAGGCGCTATGAATCAGAGTCAACAGCAACAATAAATTTCAACTGTAACAATGCAGATGTTGGAACTAAATATGATTACCAACAGACATGTCTGAAATAAAGTATGGAATTATACAAATGCCTTATTGGCTAAAATAAAATATCTCTGTGGAAAGTTTCATTCTAACTATTACTTGGTAATTGGTGGTCTACTTATCCTCCTACCGTAAACAGCTACAACACTGTACAATAAATAATTCAGGATCTTGATTCTAGCTTGAGAGAAAGGAAAAAATTGTGAGCACTACACTCATTCTGGCTTTCTGCCTTGGAGCACATTCTGCACTGTATTGTAAGGAATGAGAGCGCAAACAGAAAACAGGTTTGATAGGAAGGGAGAAATGAGACCAGAGTTAAGTATAGCTCAGGCAGCTAAAATGTATGAGAGAGAGTACCAAAGAAGGGTAGCTGTCCAGAAAAGAAACACTAAAAATCTAAGAGTATCCCAAATGTGTACTCTTAAGTCTGAACACTAAGCTGCACATAAGCAGGGTGAGATTCCATGAGGGATGGTAGAAAATAGTGACTGCAGGTCACACATTATAGTTCAAGTCAGCCAGAATGTAAGAATCTCCTGTGAAGGTCTGTGCTGAGCAACCTAAGTTTGAAAAGTTACAAAGTTACACCTTAGGAGTAAGAGTACTTAGGTGTATGCAAGCTCTAAGGCTGACTATGCAAGCTCTAAGGCTGACTCTAGACCATCCTCAAGAATTAGTCCTCCAGCATCGAGCTGATCCAGCAGCATAGTAACTATCTGTCAAAAGAAAACAGAGGGAGATTACAAAATCCATACTTGCAACAATGTAGTATTCACCACATCCACTATAAAGAAACAACTATTTTACTTGCTAAAAAAGCAGGGAAATTTAACCAGCA